CCGCCGCCGGGCCGCGCCGCGCCGCGGACGCGACGCGCGCCGACACGCGCGCGCGCGCGCGCGACCGGGGCCGCCGGGCGTCGCGCCGTACCGCCCGGCGCCCTAGGTGGAAGGCGGCGTTCGACAACAACCTCAAGGCGATGAAGTCGCTGCACTATTTCTACCGCAAGGGCGTCGACGGGTTCGACGCGTGCAACCGCGAGGACCGGTCCATGCCCACGCACATCGCGTGCCTCCGGGGCCACTGGATGGTCCTCGAGTGGCTCGCGTCGCTCCACTGGTACGACGGCCGCTTCGTGACGAACTTCAACCTGCGCGACGACGGCGGCCACACGCCCCTCTGGCTCGCCGCGGGCTGGGGCTGGGAGAAGTGCGTGCGCTTCCTCCTCACGCTGCCCCAGGTCCACCCGGTGATCCCGGACGTCCACGGAGTCACGCCCGAGCAGGCCGCGCGCCGCGTCGGCTTCCACGAGATCGCCGACGCGATCAAGATCCGGGCGACGGAGCTCGGCGTCAACTGCCCCGAGAACTCCTACTGGGACGAGCCCGACAAGCGCTTCTACGTCCGCGAGCCCGAGGAGGAGGAGGAGGAGGAAGAGGAGGAGGAGGAGGAGGACATGGAGTAGATCCACCCGTCGCCCCGCCTCCTTTTGTCCTCCCCACCCCCGAGGCCCAATCGCCCCCGCCGCCGGGGGGGGGCGGCGGGCCGGCCCAAGACCCCGGCCCGCGCGCGGCGCGCGAAGCGGCGCGCGCGAGCCACCCCGCCTTCAGCACGCTCGTTTCTAACACACACCAAGACACATGTGCGTTGCGCGGCTGGTGCGTCCACCGCGGTCGCGCGCCAGGGACCCTCGTCTCGCTTATACCTTGCTCGGTTCAAGCAGTGTTCAAGATCGCTTGCTTGAAGAATAAAACTCTGTGAGACCGCGGCGACGCACGCGCGATCATGGAGATGGAGCCGCCGTCGCCGCCGGGCGACGAGGTGGAGCTCGAGCGCGGCGACAGCGTCGCCGAGGAGAACGCGAGGCTGAAAGCCGAGGTGCGCGAGCTGCGGGAGCAGATGCAGTTCTACCGCGAGTACTGGGAGAAGCATAGCCAAAGCGAGGCCGTGGCGCCCGTCGAGGAGGACTTCCCCGAGCGCCTGCGCGCCATCGCCGACGAGGCGACGTGCGTCGCGTCCCTGCGGGACCGCGTCGCCAGCGGCGTGCCGAGCTCGGAGGCCGCGCTCGCGCTCGGGCCGAACGTGTCGCTCGAGTACACGCGCGACAGCCCCATGTTCCGGCGGAGCGCCGTCGCCTTCGAGCAGTCCTTGGACGGTTTAGGCGAGATGCTGCGGGAGCTCAGCCTGCGCGTGCGCGCCTGGACGAGGGCGCAGCGCGACGCGGACGCGAAGGGCCGGCGCGTCGCCGCGCACCTGCGGGATCGGAAGCACGCGCGGTGCCTCTTCTCGGGCGCGCACGCGTCGCTCGGCGACCTGACGGCCAAGGGCGGCTGCTTCGCCGACTGCGTCGACGCGCTCGTGCGGGGGCGGTCGGACCTGTCGGACCGCCTCGACGAGCAGGTCGCGGCGGGCCTCGAGGACTTCACGCAGAACGAATTGGGCGACGTCGCGTCGTTCCGCGCGGACGTCATGAAGCTCGGCGACGTCTACGAGCAGAAGCTCTGTGCGGTGTTGCAGCTCGACGCCGAGTCGCTGAGCGAGGACACGCTCGCGCGGCTCCAGGACGCGCGGAGCCGCTTCGAACGCGCGCGCCAGAGCAGGACAAGAGAGCGAAATTCCCAACTTCAAAGGCTCATATCTCGGCCGTTTTCCACTCGTTTTGGCTAATTCTTGGACGAGCGATCATCTCTCGGAACGGTCTCGAAGCGTAGGTGTTTTTTTCGGAACGCGCGCGCGCGGAACACTCACGTTGAAGCGACGTTGAATCACCCTTGTCCTGCCCAGGCGCCCGTTTCGCGCTCGTGCGCTACCTCAACGGCGTCGACGCGAAGAAGATGCTGGCCATCTCCGCGGCGCTGGGCGAGGGCGCGGGCGCCGTCAAGGTCTACCACGACGCGGGGTCGAAGCTATTGTGCGGCGCGCTCTCGGGCGAGGTCGAGCTCACGCGGCGCGCGCTCTCCGTCGAGCGCGAGCGCCACCTGCTCGACGAGGAGCTCTGGGACAAGGTGCTCGAGCGGTTGGAGGCGGAGCTCAGCGGCGAGCTGCCGCCGCCGGGCGCGCCGCGGGGCGCGCGCGCCGCGCCCGCGGACATCGCGCGGCTGGCCGCCGCGCCGACGTGGTCCGCGGCGCTCACGACGGAGGTGCTCTCGAAGTCGAGTCTGCGCGCGTCGCGGCGCGACCTCGCCCACGCCCGCGACGAGGGCGTGCTCAAGCAGGGCTACCTCCACCGCCGCGACGACGGTCTGGGCGGCGCGCTCGTGAGGCTGGGGTTGGCGTCGTCCAAGCGCAAGTGGCACCGGCTCCACAACGGCGCGCTCTACGTCGTCGAGGACTCGGCGGACTCGACGACGGCGGAGGAGCGCAAGGTCTGCGACCTGCGGGGCTGCACCATCGCCCGGGGCACCCACGCGGGCGGCGCGACGACCGCGGGCGTGCTCGCGGGCGCGTTCGCCTTCGGGGTCGTCAAGCCCGACGGCCACCGCCTGGCCCTCCAGGCGGAGAACGACGACGAGCTCATCAAGTGGATTTCGGCGTTGCGGCGGAGCACGAAGCTCGCGGCGGCGCCCCAGCGGTCCGCCGCGGCGAGCCCGAACGTGCCCGCGGACGCGCAGAACGGTCCCTTGCTGCAGCTCTTCGTCGCCGACAACCCCGTCTGCGCCGAGTGCGGCGCGCCGGACGTCGAGTGGGTGTCCATGGCCGTGGGCTGCGCGCTCTGCGTCGACTGCGCGACGATCCACCGCAAGCTGGGCGCCGAGTTCTCCAAGCTCCGCGCGTTGTGGCTCGACCGCTGGTCGCCGTTGATGCTCAAGTACCTGCACCGCGCGGGCGGCAACGCGCGGGCCAACGCGGTCTGGGAGCGCGAGACGCCGAGCGGCTGGACGAAGCCCGACCCGCTCGCGCCCGCGCACGTCAAGGAGCAGTGGATCGTCGCCAAGTACGTCTGGAACGGGTTCCTGGGGAAGCCCGGCGCGCTCGACGGCGGCGACGACGCGCCGTCGCGCGCGCTCACGCGCGCGGCGGCGAGGGGCGACGTCCACGCGCTCAAGGTCGCCTTCGCGAACAAGGGGCTCGCGACGTGGCGCGACCCCTCGAACAAGCACCGCACGGCCCTGCACGTCGCGACGTCCGCGGGCGCCGCGGACGCCGTCGCGTTCCTGCTGCTCAACGGCGGCGACGTGCACCAGCTCGACGACGACGACGCGACGGCCCTCTGCCTGGCGTCCGCGTCCGACTCCGCCGTCGAGGTCGCCCAGCTCATCCTCGAGCACGAGCAGGGGGATCTGTGGTAGGTTAGTCTTCGCGGAACGCGGTTTCTTTCTAGGGGAAGGGCACGAAGTACCAGGGGAGGTCGCCCCAGGCGGACGCGCCGTCGAGGACCTTGGCGACGGCGGGCACCGCGGCGACGCGCTTCATGAAGGCGGCGAGGCCCGGCGTCGCGATCTCGGGCATGGCGCGCGACCAGCTCGCGACCATGACGAAGAGCTGGAGCTCGCCGATCGAGATGCGAGTCTCATACTCCAACTTCTTCTCCTGCCACGACATGACTCGGCGCGCGTCCTTGACCGGGGGCAAGCTCCTGAAGACCGACTCGCAAAGGCAAAATCGCTCAAAATCTTACCCCAGGCCTAAGCCCACCCCTAGCTCATCGCGTTCATGTCGTTCTCCATGCCCCCCTCGGCGGCGTCGTCGGCCTTGCGCCAGGCGCGCTTCGCGTTCAGGAACGCCAGGCACCAGACCGCGAAGGTCGGCGCGGAGAGGAACGCCGCGACGACGACGCCAGCGACGACGCGGCGTAAAGACTGTTAGGCTATACTCGCGCGTCGAGGTACGCGAGGTTCTTTGTCGCTCCCTCGTGGCCCTTGGCAGCGGCGCGCTCAAGCCAGTATCTGGCTTGGCCGAGGTCGACTTCCGTGCCTGCTCCGTTCATGTAACAACAGCCAAGATTGACCTCCGCCTCGGTAAGGCCTTGATTCGCCGCGAGCGCCACGTAACGGAACGCATCTTCATGTTTCTGCTCAGAATGAAGTGAACACGCTAACTTGGATTGCGCGAACGCGTCGCCCCGGTCTGCGGCCGCCCGATACAGCCGCTCCGCCTTCTTCTTGTCCAGCTTGACGCCACTTCCAGTCTCGTACAACATCCCAAGGTGCCTCATCGCTTCCACGGCCCCGAGCTCCACGGCGCGCTTCCAAATTTTTGCGGATTTCTTAACGTTTTTCACGAGGCCCAACCCACCGCCGTAATACGCATTTCCCAAACACGTAATTGCTTCCGGCACCTCGTTCTCCACATGGCGACGAAGACGCACGAGGTATTCCGCATCGTCTTTTGGGCACGGTATGCGACAGAGGGGACACGCGCCGGTGCCGATCTTGTTCTTGCACGATCGGCAGACCTTTCGGCAGCAGCAGCTGCGAAACACGCCCTGAGTATTCACGTCCCAGTCCTCGAGACAGATCGGGCATCGCGACCCCCACCGCGCGGACGCCGGCACCGGTTCCGGGTTCGCCTCACGCCGCGCCCGGGCGGCTTCGTGCTCCGCGGCGATGCGCGCGCGGACCTCGTCGGCGTGCGACCGCGGCGCGGGGCCGTAGAACACGTCCCGCGGCGGCGACGGCGCGCGCGTCGGCGCTTCCGCCCGCGCCGCCTCCGCGGCCTGGATCTTCTTGCAGACCTTCCGGTGGCCCCGATCGCGCCAGTCGATGCGTTGGCAGTCCGTCGAACAGTAGGCCGTCGTGCCGCACCCTTGACAGGCCTTGGCCTTGTCGGCGCCGCAGATCGTGCAGGTCTTGAGAGTGTCGAGTTTTTTGCCCCTCGCTCGGGCCATGCGATTCTCATACTCTAACTTCTTCTCCTGCCACGACATGACTCGGCGCGCGTTTGGTCACTTGAGCGCGGCGATCGTCTCCTCGCCTCGAGATCGAGCCTCGATCAGATCTCGATCGGCAAGGCAAAATCGCTCAAAATCTTACCCGGGGCCGGGGACCACAGCACTCCCGACCTATCANAAACGCGTTAGATCGAGTGCCGGACGTGGCCGTGG